AATGAAGTGTATCTGTAGCTGGGCAAAAATAATTAATAATTATTAAAAATTAATTAAAACATATAAAAAAACATGCACAGAGAACAGCAAGCAAATGGACACAGAATTTTCCGTGTAACGCCTGTTGCAACAAAGGTTTAAATTTGTACGTAAATGTATACATACTTACATACAAACATAATATCTACTTATGTTTATGCATACCGGTAATTTGCGGTGACCAAAAAACATCAATGCTACTGGTAACTTATTTATTCTATATAAGAGACGCCAAATGCGCTGTACCCTTTTCCCAAGGTAGATTGGGATTGAAAAGGGGCAACAGCGGACCATAACCACGCCCACCTCCCATATAACGATATTTTCGAAATGTGCAAAAACTACGATATTTCCGTAAATGTCGTATTATAATAATTGTATAATTGTTTAAAATTGCTGCGCGAATTAGTATTTTGGCATAAAATAAGACAGTTATGAAATTGTTTGAAAATGGGCGCGGCACCGCCCACTTAAAATAAAAAAAAAATCGCGCATTAAAAAAAAATCAATGGAAAATATTAATTTTTTTCTAAAAATTTTCATCAATTTTAACTAAAAACAATTTTTTTTTAAATTTTCGTTAGTTTTACAAATTTTCACTTAAAAACATGTTTTTTGCAAAAATATGTTTTTAAAATTTTTTAATTCTTTCCTGAACACAATTTTTTTTAAATATTATTATTTCCCAAATAAACAACTTTTTTCCAAAAATAATTTTTCTTCTGACAGTTTTTATTATTTTGATATCTTCTTATGGTGCTTTCGTTTCTACCAAAGAATGTTGCCTTTTGATTTGCTCGTTTCAATTTGCGTGTTCGATTCAAAAAAAAAGGCAAACGGTTAGAAAATTTTGTGTTCGTTTCTTGAAATCTTACACACTTGTAAGGCATAAAAGGCAAATTATCTGCTCATTAAAGCTTATTCAGGGCAGTTTTCTGGGATGGTTGCTTAAAATGTAAATATGTTTTATGAAATGCGTGAGCCAAACAAAGACAAAAGGGCAAAAACATGCCCCTTTTACAGGGTTGAGTGTAACATCAAACACATTTTTTCACGTTTTTTGGAAAAAAAGGAAATCATCATTAAAAAATATTTTTTTTCTAAAAAATGTTCAAAACAGTAGTTTTTCCCCGAAAGATGGTTTTCTGAAAACTACTTATTTCCCTTGCCATTTACCTAAGAGACTTTTAAAATTTTTTTAATCTTATTACCAAAAATAATTTTTCTGACTTAAATTTAGCGCAAAAAATATATTTTTTAAAATTTTTTTTTAATGCTTATTTTGAAAAGTTTTGATAAAAATATTTTTTCTAAAATTTTGTGATAAAAATAACTTAATTAGACACATTGAAAATTCACACGATATCCATATGAGCGGAATAACTTTTTTGGAAATAAATATATTTTCTTTGGTAGGGTTAAATAACTACTTTAAAAAAGTATGATTTTTATTAATTGAAGAAGCAGCTTTACCGGAAATCTTCTAAAGGGCCTTCTGACATATATTTTAGAAAAGCCCTTCTAAAAGCCATTTTATGGGTAGCGAACGCAGAAGCTCTTCAATTTTTGCCACAAATAAAGGAAGGAATCAGAGTGGAAGGATGCTATGCTGAATATGTCAGCGCTGTTTTCACAAGGGATCAAAAGATACGTATAAGCAAAATAAGGATGATGTTTCAGGGCTAATAAATAAAGAATCATTGAAGAAAGATTCAAGAATTGTTAGCTTTAGTGGAAAAAATTTGCGAAACTGTACTGGACTGCCATAAATATGGTCACCTTATGTGTATACATATGTATGTGTGCATGTAATAACAAGTGCCTATTGTTCAAGCGCAGCAAGCTTTTCACTTCCAACAGTTGTCAATTTGGCCAATTATGCTTGTGTTGGTTTTAATTTGTAATTCCTGCAATTATTGCCACAATTACGAATTACATTAAAAAAGCATACAGGGGTAGCAGTGGTAGTTGCAAATGTTTATACTCGTAGGCACATAAAAATGTTTTAATGAAAAATAACATACTTAACAATGGTAAGCGACCAAAATGGCATTTGCGCGCACAGCTGTACTTTTGCATCAATGCTTTTGAATGCCAGTAGTACACTCGATATTTGATTTTCGCAAATGCCTGCAACAAATGTTTAAAACAATCATTAAAGCTTAATAAAAACAATATTCGTATTCTTGAAATGAAGATAGCAAAAATGGAAAATATTTTTTTGGAACACATGTACCTAACATACATACACACACCTCTTTCTTTGACTTCGTAACCCTTAAAGAAAATTTATTTGCAAATTCAGCTGATCGCTTCAATCGGAGTGGTTTGAAAGAACAGCATAGTTAGCAATGATAAAGAATGGGCCGATAGCTAGCAAATGCTTAAAGAGCACAGGTGGTGGGCACGAGCAAACGTGAGCTAAAAATGAGCTCGTGTTCACGTACCATTGTGCTCTCGCTTTATATACGAACATAAACCGCAGTTAGTCACCGACGTAAAATCGGAGAACGTGTCAGCTGACACGATCTACCTTATGAGATTTGCGTCTTAACGGAAACTCACCACCGCATGACGGAGACGTTGTCGTTGCTTCTCTTTCCGTCCGTCAACGTACGTTTAAGCCAGCGATGAGCAGAGAGAGCTTTTACAGTGTACGCGCCTATACAAAATGTATAGGAAGCTTAAAAGAGCTTTGCCCGCAGGCAAGGCAGTTCCCATCAGTAGTTTAAGCTATGTCGTTGACAGCTACCGCTTATAATTCTCTCCAAGCACATCCATCACGCTGCCCATGTCCTTTAAAAAGCGTACGATCAGAGAGGACTTTTGACGGGGGAAGCTTTTTAAATCTTTCTGCAGATTTTTTAAGTGGCCACATAGAATGAAAGCTCTCTCCAGCAGTCATTGGCTTATAACAGCGATGAACAGAGAGAGCTTTTACTCTGCACGCTCCTATACAAAAGGTAAAGGAAGCTTAAAAGAGCTTTGTGCGCGGGCAAGACAGTGCGCATCTGTGGTTTATATTGTACAACAATATTTTAAACTTTATACAATCACTTGAATATTCGCTGGGAAAGGATATCAGAAATTAAAATTTCGAAAGATTTGTCTCTGTAGGAGTTAAAAAAATAAAAAATTCTTTCTCTCCGTTCGCCCGTCTGTCCGTATACACGATAACCCGAGCAAAAACTGAAATATCTCAACGAATGGAATGTAGATTGCTCTTTATCCAAGGTAGGTTGATATTGAAAATGGGCGAAACCGGTCTCTAACCACGCCCACTTCCCAAATAACAGCATTTTCGAAAAAATGCAAGAACTACGCTATTCGAGTAAATATTGGATCGAAATTGATGAAAATTAATTTGTGACGTTGAATTTTGTTAAAAATAATATTATTATGAACTTTTTTTTGTAATTTTGAAGTATTGTGATTTTTTTGGAAAATGGGCGTGACCCCGCATATATACATATGTACTATTAAAGTGCTCATTTCAAGGCATTACTCTTTCATTTTTTGTACCGTAGTATACGTGCGTTTACAGTTCTACGCATATTCTACTGTTAAAACCAGATCAAAATTATTACCTATCAAAATAAAAACCATTGCACAAAAAACTCTAAATTTGGAATTGGCAGTTGCCAGCGATTGTGTAGCTAATCCCTATCGCTTTTTTCGCTGTGTAACGCGGAATAGTTTTTAATATACACAAAATCTCTGCTAAATATCCTTTGACATGCAAGTAAAATACCGAAATTTTAACTTGCCAGTTTTGCAAGTATTTTGCAATTCATACAGCCGCTCGTGAAATATATTTGTATGTATTTTTGTGAGCTCGCTAAAAAATCGTAGTCTTTCTATCAAACGCTGGCTGACTGACCATTTGCAGCCTCACGACGCATTAACAGTTAATACCCTTGCGCTGTTCGCTTTTTGTCTTTTGCCAACTGTGCCTGAAAGCCAGCGATGCGCGACTGACTATAAATCGCACCAAATCCGCTGAAAAGCTTTGAAATTATGATTTCATTGTAAGAGTGAAATATTCAAAAATTTCACTATATTTTCTATGTCTGCATGCGGCAAGCGCTACCCTCCCTTTACTATAAGTACTTATTTTGTAAGCTGTACATATGAACATACAGTGCCGAACAGAAGTATTGGCACAGTGAATTTTTCGCAATATATGCAAAGTTCTTTATTCTAATTTATTTCCGATAATTTTTTATAAAAAAATTGTTCATTCTACGCCAGAAAACATGATAATAAAATCTCTAAACTTTGTGCAAAACTCAGGAAAATTTATTAAATTTGCACACTAATTTGCAACTTTTTATTCAGTTATTCTAAGTATGCAGTTTTATAGCCCATTCAAATTTAGTATATTAAAGTGCAAGTTTGAAGTATCTAAAAAATTGCGTTGATTTTTGGACATTTTTTTAGTAGAAGGTGTTGCTCATTTTCTCCATACAAAAAATAGTTGTCGAATTACTTTGTATGGAAGAACTTGCGCGAAAAAAAAAACTACCAAAAATCAATGCGATTTTCTAGCGACTTTAACCTTGCACTTTAATATACTAAATTTGAATGGGCTATAAAACTGCATACTTAGAATTTTTCTAAAAAATCTGAATAAAAAGTTGCAAATTAGTATGCAAATTTAATAAATTTTCCTGAGTTTTGCACAAAGTTTAGACATTTTATTATTATGTTTTCTGGTGTAGTATGAACAATATTTTTATAAAAAATTATCGGAAATAAATTAGAATAAAGAACTTTTCATATATTCCGAAAAATTCACTGTGCCAATACTTCTGTTCGGCACTGTATGTATGTAGGTATGCACAATTTTATCAACCAAAAATTTGTACGTAGCTACCGAAAATTCATAACCGCAATTCATAAACTGCTTTCTAATGGACGTTTTTTTCTCTATTCTCTTTGTGTTATCACTACCATTGCAGATATGTCGGCGAGTATTCCAACATTCCCACCGACTATGCGGAGGTGTCAAGTTTCGGCAAAGCGCCCAGCGAATATGGCTGTGGTGGCATACAACGGCATGAGGCAGGCTCGCCAGCACCCTACGCCACATCGGCCATATTGAATGGTGGCAGTGGTGTGATTGTTGGTGGTCAGCACCAGCAACAGCCACGTTATCAGCAACGACCAGGCGATTTTCGTATGCAGCAACAGCAACAACAACAGCAGCAGCAGCAGCAATTTCAACAGCCGCATCAAAGACCTATGCATCCACACTATCACCAGCAACAACAGCAACAACAGCAACAGCTACAGCAACACCACCAACAACAGCAACAACACTCAATGGGCAATATTTACCAACCCATGTCGGTGGCCAGTGAAGTCTATCCGAGCAACATGAGCAATCACTCCGCCTATTCGGAGCAATATTACTATGCCAAGGAGAAGATTCATATCACAGAGAATAAGTTGAGCGGCTGTCACACCTATGACACGGCAGGTGAACTGCAACAGCAACAACAACAGCTACAATTGCAACCTTTGCATCAGCAATTTGCCAGCGTTGGCACTTTACGTCGCCAGCTCGGTGGCGGCGGCAGTGGCACTAACAGTGGGCGCTTTAAAGTTATCATGCAACAGCAGCAACAACAACAAACACAGCAGCATAGCCCCAGCATGAGCGCTGAGAAGTTGCAATTGCAGAAATTGAATGCCTTGAACAACAACAATCACAACAACGGCAATGGCAACGATACGAGCACCACAGAGCTCTCGAAAAATTTACTTGACCTAGATGCCGGCTCATTCTGCTACAATGGACTCGCGGACTCCGGCTGTGGCGGCTCGCCCTCGCCCATGGCCATGCTGATGTCGCACGAGGACGACCAGGCGCTCTATCACACAGCTGATGGGGAGCTGGATGGCGACATGGAGCGGTTGTATGTGAAAGTCGATGAGGAGCCAAAGCAGCAGCAGCAGCAGCAGCAGCATCACCAGCAACAACAACAGCAACACTTACTGCCTTTACCGCCATCAAATCAAGTGCATCCCAGCGTAGCCATAACACTCAGCCCCAACAGCGGCAACAATTGGCGCACACAATCACAACAGCAGCAGCAACAACAACAACAACAACAACAACCCTTCGTACGCGCCTCCTATCGCGCTGGCAGCGGCAGCACTAATCTCATGATGACCAGCAGCGGCAGCAGCGCAGCCAAGAGTAATAGCAGCAGCATTGGCGGCAGCAGTTCGCTTAGTTCGTGTTCGGAGAGCGCTGAAGAGCGTCACCAACAACAACATAAAATATTGCAAAATGGTGATTGTGAGCTGATTTATGCACCCAGCAGCGTGGCAAGTGAACGTAGCTTGCTGAGTAGTGGCAGCGGCAGCGGTTGTGGCAGTGGTGGCAGCATGTCGGCTCATCCGCAAGGGCCACATGTGTGACCGGTCGAACAATGTGTTATAGTTGGCAGTGGCAGTGGTGCGGGGTGTGGAGTGGCATCGAAAGGTGTCGGTGTGGGTTTGAAGAGGTACGGGCTGACGTGCGGCTTGAGCGCTGATGAAGAAGCGGCGTGCGATGAAGCGGCACAGGTGGATTATTATACGCGCGAGGTGCAAGAACTGCTGGCGTGGTGTGAGCGTGTAAACAAAGGGCAGCTGGAGTCGAGCGAGTGAGGGGCGATGGGGTGGAGGGGGGAGGGGAGTGTAAAAAGCATGGAGGACGTGGTGTGAATATAGAAAGATAAGTACTATATAGTTACGTATGTGTATGTGTACATGAAAACTACATAAATACAAGCGCTATGGAAGCGAAGAAGGCGACGCAGTGCCTAAGGCGTTCTGCTTGAGATTTTCATTTGTTGAAGCAAGAGTTTAAGAATTTTTAATTTTTAAATTCCATTAAAATGTTACTTTCCTTTTTTTTTAAAAATTTCTGAGGATTAACCTTAACTTAACTTTTCTAGCAGTCGAACGATTATAGATATTTTGAAGTCAAGCTATTGTTTCGAAAAGTATAGTCCATATCGGCTCCTTCAAAAAAAAGAAAACATAAAAAGATTAACGAAAACTCGTGTAAATAAATTTAAAAAATTATTTTAATTTTAGCATTTTTTCTAAGGTGTAAGTAAACATGAAATAATCAATGACATTACGGATCTTTGAAAACGCATAGGAAATTAAAGTATGTGCTTATGCAGTCAAAAACCTATCTTATACCTGTGGTCACTAAACGGTTAAGAAAATACTTGCATTTTTACCTTTAAAAGAAAATTGAATTACAAAGGTTATGCTTAATTTATTAAATCATCTAGTGTCTTTCTGATACTTGCTATGATTTAATCATTACCGCTTATGCTTGAGACTAACAGAACATGTTGCCAACAGTAAATTTATATTTTATATTTTATTTTTTCTATATACTTTGTATCATTTTTATTGTCTCGAAATAGATATTAACAAAAAAAAACTATGAAAGTATTTCCATGGCAAATCTGAGCCGTGCAACAATGTATTGCAACATTGACTTTGCAACATGTTTCCGCAATAAGTTCCAAGTTTCGATTCTGGGGCAGCGGATTTTTTTTTTATTTTTACTTAATATTTTTCTTATTTTAATTTCCTTCGTTGTTTTTATTTAATTTTCTTCTAAAGTTTGAAAATTCATGTAAAAAAAAAGTTTTTTGTTTGTTTTTACATATAAGTAATTTATATTATATAAACTGAACGGTTCCACAATGTTGAAGAGTTTCTTTTATTCCTACATTTAGAAAACTTTTTTCTAAAAGGAAAACAGAATAACGCTAAGACCTTCTTGCTGGCGCAACTAGCACAACTTTCAATTTGTCTTTCGAAAGACTCTGTTAGTTAGGTCAGAATAAACTTTTTCTAAAATTTGAGCTAGGGAGCCCATTGAGGTCGATTAGGAGACCAACAAATATTTACCAGTGTATCAGCTCAACCCAACAATCTGGCTTTCTTGCAAGAAAATATGCTTAATAGTTCAGCATTTGATTGGTGAATTGGTGAAACCAAGTTATTCTGAAGGTCTTGATTTTTCATAGAAAATTAATTTCTCAGTTTTTCCAGGCTGACGATTTTTAACGTTTTTTTTTTGCAATTGAAGTTGGTGATTGTAGAGCAGCTTTTAAAACAATTAAAATTAATTTAAATGCAAATATTTATACCATAAAAAGGCTTTTCTGGCGTTTTTTGTGTACGAGGAATTTGAATGTGCAATCCTTGTTTACCAAAAACGGCCAACAGTCGCAATCGCCGAGTAAACAAAGCACAGGCAAACGTTTGGAGAGATTAGAGTTCGAGCACTCGGGCAACGGATTTTTTTAATGTGACTTTCTTTCCTTTTCAATAAAATTTTCTTTTAAATTTTAGATTTTTTTGTTAAAAAAAATATATATATGTACATACCCTTTAATTTCATTTAATTTTTTGTTTTTTTTTTTTAATTTACTTTTTTCTTTCTTAATTTAATTACCTTTTATTTTTTATAAGTTGCTGTTTAAAAAATAAATTTTTTTTAACTTAACCTATTAAATTTTTTCCTTTAAAAATAATTTTTTTTTCTCTTATAGTTTAATTTTGTTTTAATTTATAGATTTTGTTTGTTTAAAAATAATATCATTATAGGTAATTTCATTTATTTTTAGAAACTCATTTCTTTTTCCTTTTTTTTAATTTTTAAATTTTTTTAAATAAATATCCTTTTTAATTGTTAAGTACTTTTTACTTCTTTTTTATTTTATTTTTTTCATTTTCCAATTTAATTTTTAGATTGTATAGTTTTAAAAAGAAAAAAGTACTTTCATTTCACATAATTCATAAGAATGTTTTTTATTCAATTTTGCTTCATTTGAATTTTTTTCTTATATTTTTTTAATTTTCTTTTCTTTTATTTATTAGTTTTTATGGTTTTTAAATGAAAAGTAGATATAATTTTTTTAATTTAATTTACTTTTTAAAAATATATTGCTAAAAGGCGAACAGCATAACGCTAAGATCTCCTCGTTAGCAGATCTTTCAATTAGCATAAAAGTAAAGATAGTAAAGAGCTTTCAAGACTGTTTCCAGAATTGCTCTGTAAGGGACTCGGAATCATAACTTTTTTACCTTTCGCGTTTAAAAATTCAGAACACATCGAGAAGGACACTCTTAGGCACTCGCGTTTACATTTAAATAAATAATCTTCCTTTTTCAAATCAAGTAAAATGCATTTAAAGACTGAATCAATACTACATACATACATATAACCACACTCATATAAGTAAATATGTAACTAAACTGCTGCTGGGTAAATGTTTACTGCAAAGGTGAAACTAAATACATACAAAACAAATAATAAATATATAAAATATATGTATGCAGAAGTACATAGGTAAGCTAACTATTTTCTAGTGAATGTTATTTAGTAGTCCCAATGAAAATAAAATGAGAGCAGAAGTAAACATATGCGTGCAAAATATTTACTTAACAATATCTAAATAAGAGTATATTTTGAAGGAAGAAAGGCCATCACACCACTTATGTATGCATAAGCAAATAACAAAAAAATACATATAACTAGCATATATCGCACGTTTAATATTAAAAGGAATTATTTCAAAATTGCACTTTTATGGGAAAACGCAATCAAAGTTTGATCAACTATAAGAAAAAATCGCAAAATCAGTCTAAAAAAAAATCGCAAAAATCAACGCCGGTTGACACTTGCATTTCATGCAACTAAATTGTATGGGCTATAAAACTACATACCCAAAAGTGTTCTAAAGATTCCGATTAAAAAGCTGAAATTTTTATGAAAATTTGTTGAATTTTCCTAAATTTTGCATAAACTTTTAAACTGTTATTTATATGTTTTTGCTTAAAGCTTGGATGATGTTTTTTATAGAAAAATAGAAAAAATATAAACATAACAAAATTTAGCTCGAAACACATTACGAATATTTAAAAAAAAAATCAACACGTATTCATTTGTTTGAGTCACTGTATCTTCGCCATTTTTGGGAAGTTTCGTAATTGTAGGCTTAAAACTCCAAGCAAGTTAATTTTTAATTAATTCTCCATAGTATTAAACGTGCGATAATAATACACACATCAAAATATAAAAAAACACAACAACATAAAATAATACAGTTTTAATGATTTGTTTGACGTGAAGCTCTCTGTCGTGAAATATACATACATATATTGTAAGATAGGCTGTTATTGATGTGAAATAATCATAGATATGAATGTATGTACAAAAGCGGGAAAAATAAACGAAAAATATTAAAATAAATGCTGACAAAAAATAAAGGAATAAAATAAGATAAATTTAGAAATTAGCATTAGTACCATAAATAAATTTATATCTAAGTAATGGCACTAATTGTAAGTGTAATTGTCAGTAATTGCTAACAAACTAGTATGCCTACCAACTCATTGCTTCCGTTTGCTAGGCGAGGCAACAAAATGTGCAGACAAGTTATGAAAAAAACCAGAAACGCCGGCAAAAGATACATGAGTTCAAGGTTCCATTTTTTTTAATTAATTTTTATTTACACGGGAACGTTTATTGAAGATTAACAATTTTAGAAAAAATGCTTAATTTTTCTTTTTTACTTTTGTTAATGAAATATAAATCTGGCTTTTTCTGGAAAGTGAGGTATCGAAACTGTTTAAGTGTAAGAGAATTTAAAAAATATTAAATAAATTCAGAAGATTTTTCTATTCAACCTATGTATGTATATAGCAACTTAAGCGTAATTGTAGGTTCATTTTTATTCGTTTTTTTGTTTTGTTTTTGTTTTTGAGATTTAGTGCAGCAAAACTTATTACTAAAAAGCTTCTGTATATAGAAAATCCTATTAACTTAATTAAAGTAAACTACTATCAGTAATATGAGCACTTAAAATACTGAAAATGTATGTAGGAAGGGATCGGGAATTCAATAGAAAAAGTAAAGTAAAAAAATCATTTACAAAATATTTTATACCCACTGCAATGACGTTTTTCAGGGCACATTGCTTGGTTTTAAGAAATTATTTAAAGAGTCGTACTCTTAGAGACATCGATATATGTATGTATCTGCAAAAATGCATCCAATAAAATCAACCCGCCAGATGAATTTGGCACAAAATTTTGATATTATCGGAAAATTTAAATATTTTTAGCGCTACTTAACGAAGAAATGGCGGGCGCTAAATACTCTGGTTCAAAGTGCTCAGGTAGTTTGAAGATGCAAAATACTTTGACTAAAGTACCAATGTATTTTGTCGACGATTTGCCGACATTACTTCAGGATTCTCGAGAATATTAGGGGACTCTCGAGACTACTTCGAATTTTTCGTTGTATATATCGATATTGTTATCAATATTTGTAGCGATATATTTGTCGGTATTTTTATCTGTATATTAATCTACATTGTTATCGATATAATATCGGCACTATTATCGAAATAATAATCGATATTATTATTGATATATTTTTGTCGATATATTTAGTCTCAAAAACGCCGAACCAGTCCCGAGAACCTCCAATATTCCAGAAACGTAGGCTCGAAACAGTAACGAAGATTCCGAAATAGCCCCTAAAAAAATCTAAAATAGTTCCGAAAATCCCGAAGTAGTTGCGAAAACTCTGAAGAAGTCTCGGAAATGTCGAAATAGTCCCTTAGGTCCTTCAAGTCCCAAAGTAGTCTCGAAAATCGCGAAATAGTAAATAAGTTACCGAAAAGCCTGAAATAGTCCCAAAAACGCCCAAGTAGTCCCAGAAATACAGACATATTCACTAAAATGTCGATATAGTCTCGAAAATCGGTATTTAATAACATCCGAAATACTTTTGTACTTAACTACCATATTGCCCATCACTGATTAGGATGCAACACTAAAAATAGTTGCGGGTGTTCAACCGAAGTATAGAATTTATTATATTTTTTAAAACTTCC